AGTGTACACTGTGATGGACAGAGGGTGTGACCTGTCAGATGAATGGTGTTTATACACATCAGTGTACACTGGTGGACAGAGGGTGTGGTCTGTCAGATGAATGGTGTTAATACACATCAAATGTACACTGTGATGAACAGAGGGTGTGGCCTGTCAGATGAATGGTGTTTATACACATCAGTGTACACTGATGAACAGAGGGTGTGACCTGTCAGATGAATGGTGTTTATACACATCAATGTACACTGATGGACAGAGGGTGTGACCTGTCAGATGAATGGTGTTTATGCACATCGATGGACAGAGGGTGTGGCCTGTCAGATGAATGGTGTTTATACACATCAGTGTACACTGATGGACAGAGGATGTGGCCTGTCAGATGAATGGTGTTTATACACATCAATGTACACTGTTGGACAGAGGGTGTGGTCTGTCAGATGAATGGTGTTTATACACATCAGTGTACACTGGTGGACAGAGGGTGTGGCCTGTCAGATGATGTTTATACACATCAGTGTACACTGGTGAACAGAGGGTGTGGCCTGTCAGATGAATGGTGTTTATACACATCAATTTAAACTGCAATGAACAAAGGGTGTGGGCTCTCAAATGGATGTTTATACATATCAATTCACACACTATAATAATGCAATGAAAAGGTAATGCAAACAATGAAATGAAAACTTTATTTCAAACATAATGAGAAAAGACTATACATGATACACAAACCAGCTGTTAGCATTTGGAGAACAAAAACATGCAACTGCAGAAAATATCAAAGAACTGCGAATGATGATGAGTGTACACAGTATGTCATGCATCACAATTAAGTTTCTCAATCATTGTAGTTCAGTTTCAGCTTGGTGACGACTGAAATTGGTTCTTCCAAAAATTACATGGATTACATCAGGTAATAATGTATTGACTAAGTTAGCATTTTTTAACACTGTTTTACAGACTTCAGTATTATGCACGTTTCTGATTCTGCCTTTGCCTCTGACATGAGGTTTATTTAGGGTATTTTAATTTATTACTCGTTTAGTTAAACACGTTAACACAAACCTTTGACATCACAATACATTGACACAGCAGTTAAAAATTCATGCTCTTCTCGTCTAAACAAGTAAGTGATAAAATAAACCCCACCCCATTGTATTCATATTTCTGTATAGAAGATTGAATCTGTGACCCTATCAGTCACATGTTACTACACCCCCTTTTTAGAAGTCTTATTTGAAATGAAGCTATTCTGTAATATAAATGGGGGAAATGTACAGAATATTATTAGACATAATAACATTGTCAACAGATTCACTAGAATTCTACAACACAATGGAACAGTTGTTTTTAACTATATTTATATATTTTTTTTTATATTTATCAACTATATTGCGGAAACACATGTATAACATTTTAATGAATTACAATGTGCAATGCAATCTGTTATAATAATGATTTTTACTTTCTGTTAAACTTAAAAACGGAAATGTGAATAAATGAAGTTGCAAGCCTGTAATATATGCAAACACTATTTTGTTGGAATGGTACAGTTTGGGAAATGTGTTTTACTGTAAAAACCTGACAGAATGAATGAATAAAAAAAATTAAAAACAATACTTAAACAAAATATTAAGTATAATTGTGATCACAAAATATTAAAAGTAGATTACATGTATTCTATTAACTACAGAAAATTATAAAAAAATTTGTCCCAGTTATGTTTTGACTGTTCATGCAGATTTCAAAAAAAATAAACGTTTTAAGACAAAAGTGGCAGACATTTTGCTAGACTCAACTGGAAAAGTTTAGTTAGCCAAACAAAACATTTAGTGTTTTTTTTATCATCCTACCGAATTTGAACAAATCAAAGCAAGTCTAAGAATTAGACAGAGATACACAAAAGTACCAGTACTTTACCCCTAGTTGACAATTGGAATGAACACAACAAAATGACTGTAATGCCCATCTCAGGATGTTCAATAGTTTCACAAAAACATTTCAACTTTTTCACCACCAGTTTCCTCTTTTCATCACAAATTCACAAAATAATATCATTTATAGGCTGCACTTTCCTTCCGAAGACTGTAACAAGCATAGCCAGATTTTTTGAGTAAAATCTAAAATTGACTCAAATTTTGTCTGTTGACTCTAAAATTAGGGTTAATTTCCAGAAATATTGAAGAATTTGAGCAAGAGACTGGCGGTAAAAAAGTTAAACATTTTCCTTTTGGTGCATTGGGAGATTATTCTAATATAATTTATTAGAGTAAAATCAGTTTAGCAAAAATAGTATGGGGTAATATTACACAATTGATACACAGGATCTGGGATAGAAAAATAAAAAGGTGATCATTTCTAAAATATCAAAACCAAACTCTGGATATTGACTGGGTTTATAGAGAAATTTTCCACAAATAAATATTTTGCGTCATCACAATTTTTTGAAATGATATTTCAATAGGTTAATCCACACTAATACTTTCACGACTGTATCAACCATATTTGTGTAAACTTAAAACTTTTCTGAAAAGCATTATTGCTCACCTCCATACAATGTACAAGCCTATATTCAAACTACTGGTATCAAGGATTGTGTATCCTATCATGGTCATATCACAAAAGTGAAACTGTATCAAATATCCTTGAAAAATCAGTCAGGAAATTGACATAAAACGGAACAATAAAACAAAATGGCCGCCAGTTGGTCATTCAAAATTTAAGAAACTGACATGCATGATACGATACATTCATATATTTGAGCCATGTCTAATCTACTACAACTACCCTAATTGTTAAGTCCACTTGGGACAAACAAAACAAACAGATCTTTGCCTGCCCCTTTGATACCATTGTAAAATACTGCAAAAGAGATTTTTCTGAATAGTTACTGATAACTATAAACTACACTTTCACATCTTCATAAACTTGCTTCAAACTCATTGCAGCAGCTGTTATTGCCCAAGTTGTTTTCTAATTTCATACACAGAATGATTATGTGCTTTCAAAAAATCTAATAATCAAACAAGCAGCCTATCGGCTGAGATAGCTCCGCTGTTAGCAATGCACATTTCAATTAAAGAAATGAAGACATCATTAGAAAATGAACAATATGAATAGTATCAAAGCAATCGGACTAACAGTTTTTAACAAGAAGTCGAAAATATCACTTTTTACCAAAAATTACAAAAATATTCACCAAAATAAATTAATTAGAGAATTGAAGATATCATCACAAAATGAAAAAATCTGAGAAAGGTCCACGTGTAGTACCTATATATGTAATATCAAAGCAATCGGACTTGCGGTTTTTAACAAGAAGTCAAAAATATCACTTTTTACCAAAAATGACAAAAATATTCACCAAAATTAGAGAACTGAAGATATCATCACAAAATGAACAATCTGAGAAAGGTCTACATGTAGTATCTATATATGTAATATCAAAGCAATTGAACTATTGATTTTTAACAAGAAGTAGAAAATATCACTTTTTACCAAAAATGACAAAAATATTCACCAAAATTAGAGAATTGAAGATATCATCACGAAATGAACAAATCTGAGAGAGGTCCACATGTAGTACCTATATATGTAGTATCAAAGCAATTGGACTTGCGGTTTTTAACAAGAAGTCAAAAATATCACTTTTTACCAAAAATGACAAAAATATTCACCAAAATTAGAGAATTGAAGATATCAACATGAAATGAATAAACCTAAGGTCTACCCAAGGTACATATACACCAAGTATCAAAGCATTCAGGCTTGTAGTTTTCAAGAAGAAGTCGAAAAAGTAAAACATTGACACGGACGGCGGACAATCACTCATATGATAAGCTCCGCTCGACAAAGTCGACAGCGGAGCTAAAAAGTAAAGATTGGAATAAAAATTGAAATTAAAAGAGGTAGACATCCAATTCTGAACAGTAACAATGCTTAGAAAAAAATTCTGACCTTTCAAAAAAGTAAATTCAAAGTTTTTGAAAAACTAAATTATCTGCCATAATCTTTTAAATATAATGAATGTTTTAGAAATAGAATTTAGGTTGTAGAACCAAAATAGACGATTGCTTCACATTCAATTATCAAATGTAAATATTTACCACAGTCACGAAACAGATGGTACCAGTACAGACTAACACGATTGGTTTCCATTTTATAGTATTGCAAAAAAAATTGCAAATGTGTCTAATTACTGGTTTAAAAGTATTTCCTACAGAGATTTATTTCAGAGCAAACCCTAACAGAAAAGCACATTTCATCATCATTGAAAAAACTAATATTCATACTTTTTATTAGCTCAAGTCTGAGTACTGTACTTTATTTTTGCTTGGAATTAATTTTCGCTATTTTTGCTGAAGGAATGATTCAGTGAAAATAAATTCCAGCGAATATACCCGTTTTTTTATATTTTACATTCAACTCGTCAAAAATCAGTGAAAATAAATTCCATACAAAACACCCAAAGATTCTTTTCAGCGAAAATTAATTCCAGCTAAAATAAAGTATTCTACAGTATAAGAATTCTTGTCAGTTGTTGATGTGAATTGTGAAGATCTGTATTTAATAGGAGTCACTCATGATTATTGTCTGTCAATGACACGTCTTTTACATCCTCAAGAACTCATGAATGAGTAGGTGAATTGCCGTTCACTGAGAGATTTTGTTTAATAAGTGAAAAACATGGATAGTTTGAATTTAAATTTCAATTCTTTATGTCAAAATGCCCATTATTCAGAGGAATATGGCAGTATTATCCTTATTTCGTCAAAATTGAACATCACCAAATGTATACACATTAAGTGTGGAAAAACCAAAAAAATAGTTTTCGCATTTGTTTTGACGCCACTATGCTATGATCTTAGGTATTTTTACGTTTGATTTCGTACGAAACACAGGATCTTGCAGTGAATAGAAAATGGTCTATTGAAACATTTCACATATTACTTAAACTAAAGAAACATACATTTACATTATGTAATCTAATCAACAACCCTAGTCTAACCAGGTCGTAGATATTCGTCACTCTCACATTTACTAATGTTGCCGTCGCCAGATTTGGGAGGATTTTTGACTTGCTTCTTAGCATATCCTTTTTCAATCAGCCACTGGTTTATGAAAACGTCCTTGTCATCTGTTGTACTGTACAAATTAATATACATCACATTACAGCTGCTGTAATAAAAATAAGAAAAAAACATCAGAGAAACATAGTAAAAGACGGGATGCTGCAGGGGATGAACATCGCGAAACTACAACAGAGCTAGAGTTGTTCCGGTGAAACAGCCACCTTGAAGTCGATGCAACTTCAACTAGCCATTTCTTACTTTGAAATCCAAAAAATAAAAATTCGAAGAACATCGGGGAATATATTAATAACCACTCTTAGAAATCACTAGCTTTATTTTATTTGAATCCATAAAGTCTTTCGACATTTGTTGCCAACTTGCGCGCTAAAAATGATTGATAATGTGGGTGTGGTTCTGTCGCAAAGTCCTGTTGATAATACGAACAAATATGGTTCTGTGACCTAGGTCGTGTTCCGATCAGGTGACTTTCAGAAGGTTGGACAAAATGAGTACTGTATATCTGCTAATAAAAGTCTGACTCGATGTTGACATTCTCCAAAACAAATCTTCTGTAGATGATAACTATTTCACCTCAAAAGTACACCATTCAGAATTAAAATCTGCCATTTGAATTGAATTCTGGTACAAAATTTGGTACGCATGTGGAACGTCCATGGTCGAACTACGTCATAATTAAATTGAATTATTAGTTTTATATGTGCTCCTATTAGACCAAATACATTGTTGGTTATCTACAAAGAATGAACAAAATCAATCCAAAACAATGCGACTCTCAAAAATGTCACGCTAAAGTTCAAAATTGGCAGTTGTCCCACCTAAACGACCACTGATTGGGACTATCAAATATGCAAATTCCATAAGTATGAATGTAAAAATCACAATCAAACATTGTATTATCATTTACAATATCATATTTGCTATTATAATAGCACATATGCTTACATAAATTAAAAAGCTGTTTTATGGTCAAACAAAGTAATACTTTTAAATGATTGATTCAGCATACAACTAATGCGATCTTGTGTGCTTTTATAGAAAATGTGCTACTAATAGAACAAATATGGTAATTTTCAAGTTGTTTGAAAGGCAAAATCTTATGATCTTGACTGAAGTTGTTGCAGCCACCATTGTGAGAAAATTATTAAAGCTCAGTTTTACAGTTTATCTGACCAGTGGTGGCGCTATTTCTCACGAAGTGTTACTTTAAAAAATACCTGTAATTTTCACAGCTATGTTAATTGATCATATTCACTAATTTTCCAGTGAAACTAAGTTAAATTGTAATTTAAAAAATTCATGTGGATTTGAGTGAAAATAAACTTGCTGAATAAAGAAGTCCCTGTATGTAATTAGATGCAATTACATTAGATGCCATAACACAAGGAGCAATAATGCTAGAGAAATATCAGTGAAACAAAAACAAAATTAGCATGCACATAAACTAATTTGTATTACATTTAATCAAAATTCAGCATTATAGACAAGAGGGGAAAATGAAACTGAGTACTGTATTTGAAGAACAATGGAGTGGAAATAGGAAACATTTAAAATTAATAAGTTTATAATACAACCAGAAATCTAAAATATAAAGCAATTTGATTGTATGTCAATGGTATATCCCACAGCAACTATTAAAGTTTAATTTAAGTATGATAAGCATCTTCTCAGCTGATACAGTTCCACTGTTAATGACGCACAAGCAAGTTCTACATACAGAGTGAATTGAAAACATGGATTTGATGTAGGACGTTGTTTTTGGTCAAATCGTGCTGAAAAAACATCATGGCGAAAATTGCTTTGCATCTGGAGTTTGCGTACAATTGAAAACATCCCAAAACGAAGATAATGATCAAGATGTTGTCTTCAACTGTTTCCCCACAGACTTAACCCATTTTTTACACCCTAAATTCAGACGGTACACAAATCGTATTGTAATAAAATGTGTTTAGTTTTATGTAAATGCTCGTTTCTTCATTTCTTCATTCATTACACCAAAAAAAAAATTGTCTTTTCTGAAGTGGTTCTCGAGTATAAGCCCACCCCTTACTTTTACATTTTCAGGCCACTGGGCTTATGACAAGGAAAGCTTGATAACAATTTTTTACCAAATAGTCATCAAAATTAGAGAATTGAAGATACATCATCCACCTGAGGTACCTATAAATTATATATCAAAGCAATCAGACTTTCAAGATAAGTAAAAAATATCACCTACATGTATTACCAAAAATAACAAAAACCTGAGAAATAAACTTTGCAGCTAGTATGTAACACTCATACAGCTGTACTAAAAAAATGCCTAATTTTTGCAAATTAGGTCATTTTTATGCATGAATTTCATTTCTAAGCTATTATTAATTAATGTCAGTGGATTACCCCCTATAGCACGCTGTCTATGAACTGAAAAATGGTATTCAGTCTACACAGGTTTCAGTTTTCCCTGTATACAGGGATTTTTCTAGAAAAAAAACAGCAATTCAGCGGCGCCACCAAGTGGGGGAGATAGGGTTCTCTCTACCAGGCTGTGGAGTTTTTGATCATTCTAAGTTAAAATGGAGCATTCTATAGCTTCCTTGGGGTCAAAATTACTATTAGACAGGTCACAGTTGAAGACTGTGGCCACATGCGATCCCTGGTCATTCAGAATTTTATGGTTGCCAGAGGATCTGCTCCCCAGAGTAAGTGGGTGCAAGGCCATGGCATGAGGGCGCTGCGCCCCTGTTCCCTTGTTTAAACAAGCAGCCTCTCGGCTGAGATAGCTCCGCTGTTAGCAATGCACATTTCAATTAAAGAACAGAAGATATCATTAGAAAATGAACAATATGCATAGTATCAATGCTATGGGACTTGCTGTTTTCAACAAGAATTCAAAAATATAATTTTTCACCATAAACGATTGTGGTTTTTAACAAGAAGTCGAAAATATCACTTTTTACAAAAATGACAAAAATATTCATCAAAATTAGAGAATTGAAGATATCATCATGAAATGAACAAATTT